TGCTGGCACAGCGGCTGCCACCACTGCCAAGAGGGCCAGGCAGTCCAAGGCAAAACCTGGTGGAGCCAGTCCCAGACCTCCACACCTTGGAGCTGTCACTTCAGCCCCGGCAGGAGCTGGGCAGAGCCTGGCTGGGGCGCTGCGGGGCCGGCAGGGGAGCTCTCTGCACTGCCGCTCTCTTCCCCCTCCTCCCCCGCCCGCCACAGGGGGAGCGACAGCGAGCCAGGTCTGGTGGGGGCTTCTTCACCTCCCCTCCACTGCACCGGGATCCCCACTGCATAGATTAGGGGTGGGGGGGAGAGGAGGGAGCTCAGCTCCCTCCCCTTCCCACCGGCTGGGGGAAAGGCAACGCGCTGTTCGGAAGCTTTCCACACGGCAAGGTAAGAGTTCCCCCTCATGCCCAGACCCCCACACTTCAATCCCCCTCACCTCACCCAGCCCCACCAAGAGCCCACAACCCGAGCCTGCTCCTGCACACTCCCTTGCTCCTGTACCTCCTCCCGGACACACACTGCACCCTCCTTTGCTCTTGTACCTTCCCCCTGGCCAGACACCTACCCCCACCCTGCTCCTGCATCCACCATTCCTCCTGCACCCTCACCCCTGGCCACACACTGCACCCTCCCTTGCTCCTGGCACCCACCCCTGGGCCAGACACCCTACTCCCAGCCTGCTTCTGCAGCCTACCTCCCACCCAGACTTCGCAACCTCTCCCCTTTCTGCACCCCATCCCTATCCCACACACTGGCAGCCCTGTCCTGCATACTGAACCCCTCATTTTTGTCTCCACCCGAGAGACTAAGGGAGTCCATAAAATCCACTAACTCCGGAACCCCAGAAGAGAAAATCTGGCCTATGGGAAGCCCTGAACCTCAGTCTTCCCTGCTCCTTTCCCTTGTCCTGTGGGGCTAGAGTGCCCAAGTGAGGTGTCTCAGTTGGGGGCCACATCGGTGAGGATTTAGGGGAGGGGTTAAGTTTTTGCGCCTCTCACTTGGTGGTTCCCAACTGATTTTTCTGTGAGCCAGTGGCCCCCAACCCAAAAATGTTTCCCCACCCCTTCCAGAAATAAAGAAAATATTGAAACCTTTTGTGCTAGACAAATTAATATTTTACTTCATTTAATGAAGTTTAATAGTTTAAATTAAACCACTCTCCCTAGCTGCAGCTGGTTCAGAAAATATGGCCACCATACCCAGCCTGGCCCAGGCCCAACACACAGAACTGTAAATAGAAGTGAGTAAGTTAAATCTTGGCATGCCACTCCTTAAAGGGTGCCGATCCTGGTATAGGACATTTATGACATTTTCAGTCCATGTCAATATAAACAGAACAATTGTGCTGTGACTGAAGACAGAAGAGGAGCTAACATGTCAAAAATTTAAGGTTAGTTTCTTAAATTCTCTGGTTTCCATGACTCTCAAACCCTGAATACACAGATCACAAGTTCTGAGCTTTTTTTTTTTTTTTTAAACAGTACTCCTCCTATAAGAAAAAGCAGATAGTGGTGCATCTTTGTTTTCTCTGGATCTAAAAGGCTAGAAATCCTGGTGGAATTTTCCAGCTTTCAATCTCGCTGTCAAATCTTCCCCAGGATCTGGGTGCTCTGGAATATGGCAGAGTCACAGGTATAAAATGAAAGGCTGCTCTTATTACATGCCTTCTCGTCACATCTGGAGCAAGAGGAGCATGCATACAGAGAGAATACCATAAGAACCTAAGTCACTGGAAGAGGTCAAACTGCCAAATAGTTCTGCTGCTTAGGTCCATCTTGGTCACTGTATTCCTTATCACTGATTGGGGCACAAGTCCACAGGACCACTTTCCACTAACTAGGTCTATACTTGAAAGGCTTTGCTGGTTAAATATGCCACACACGGCTATGCTGGCATAGTAGTCTATACTAGGGGGGTTGGCCAGCACAACCATGTCTTGAAATCATACCTCATTACATCCTGACCAACACAACTACATAGCTGTCCATTTGTTCTTTGTGCAGCCCTGATAATATTGCTATAAGCAAACTACAGAGGAAATCCCAGTTCCTGTGCACTGTGGCAGTGAAATATGGGCTTGCTGGTGCTTGTTCCACATCTTCCAGGGCCTGTTCCACGCTAAGTGCTAAGGCCCTTCCTGCTCACCTCACTTCACTACCGTTTTGTGGGTTAGCCAGGCCACCTATGTAACAAGGTATCACTATTTATGTGCCATAAATATTGACTTCTGAATAGGCTACTCCGTTCCATCAGCAAAGTGAATTCCTTCCCCCCTCAAAATCACCTTAAAGTTAAGGATACAGGTTTGCCACTAAAGTTCTGCACATAAAGTCCATTTAGCAAAGCAGGAGGACAGTTTGTAAAGGAGTACAACCTAAAATTCTTGTCATAAGTTAGCAGCTGTGACGTTGCCAAAAAGCCTTGCAGGACAAAAGTTTCCAGTAAAGTATGTCAGATGATGTTATTATTTCTATTATTTTAGTTCCTAGGAGTCCTAGTCATGGCTCAGGACACCAATGCGCTAGATGCTGTGCAAACACAGAAGACACTCCCTTACCACAAGGGGCTTACATTCACACCATTACTAGAGATCCAAAGTTCTCGCTTTCCTTTCAGAAAGCTCACAACACTGAATTTGTGATGACAAAGTGAAGTCATAAGCAGAAGTAGACATTGCAAAAATTTGTGAAAAACAAATGCTGGATGTTCTCAAGTCTGCTCAAATGTATAGGTTCTTTGGTAACAGAAAAGCATTTGTTTCTAGACTTAAGTTATTTAAGTCTACATCTCCTAGCGGAGGGTATTTTCATATATTTTCAGAGTCAATCACTTAAAATAACCCCTTTAAAAGCAGAAAGCAGCTGTATGCAAATCTCTCAGCTATCACCTCAAACAATCCAGGAAGAACAAAATGAAAATGTAACCTAACAGTCGTTCTGAAGTGGCTTGAACATTTCCAAGCACAAGCTGGAATATGTAAATGGTAAAGTTGATAAACGCTGGCCTTCAACTTCAGCAAGATGAGCTCAACTCTGAAACATGCAGAGCAGAGCGCCTGCTACTCCCAATTCCAATTCACAGGAGTTGAGGGCACCTCACTACAGGCTGAACCTCTGAAAACCAACACAC